CAGCAGAGAACTGTGTGACATACAGCATCTTCCAAAATATTTATTTTCTGAAACAGTATTTTCAAGCATATTTTCCTTTTTATCTCCAATCTCACAAAAACCTTTAGATTTGCACCGTCTGGTATCATAGTCACTAGTCACATAAAGTTATGGAAAACTCAAAATGTGTCTAGTATGAGTTGAGACGGGGTATAAATGTAAAATTTGCACACTGGATTTCAGACTTACTGCTAAAAAATGTAAACCATCTCAATGACAATTTTATATTAATTATATGCTGAAATGAAGATTTTTTTAAATATATGGGATAAGTAAATATGTTGTTAATTTTTAAGACAGCTAGCAGGATATTTGAAAGCACATTTGTGGCTCAGGTCATATTCTAATCAGATCATGCTGCCTTTGAGGATCCAGAAAAATATGTTCAGGTCCTTCCTGGGCCAAATTTCCCCAAAAACCAATTTTAGATCTGACTTGAAGGCAAAGGGACATGATGCAAAGTATGATTTTTCTTTATCCTCCTCAGTGTAGTAAATTGATCAAATTAGGTCCAGCTGCTGCACGTGGCTCACAACGTTTCAAAAATGCAACTGGGAATCTCCCCGCTGTAAACTCTTACTGAGGACCAGGAACCATCTGCCTTAGGCATCGGGGAAATATACAAGATTCCATCTTTGCCCCAAAGCAATTTGTTCCTTCTGGATGGGTGTATTCTTGTCCTTGGCTCCTCTTCTCTCTGCTTCCTGGCTGCCTCAGTGAATAACTTTCCTTTGCCAGGCCCTTCTGCTACACCATTTCTGCTTTGGAGCCAGCTAATCATGGACTGAAACTCTGAGTGAAAATAAGCCTCTCTGCCTTTAAGTTCCAGATATCAGGTAATCTGTCCCAGTGACAAGAAGGTGCTAACAGCCTCCTTCATTGAGCCAACTCCTTGCACTAGACCCCCTCTTCACAAGGTTTTACCAACCTCCCAGTAGCACCAGTAGCTTTTAACACACAGGCCTTCGGAAGACCCTAAGACCCAAACCATAGTAGAGCCATAGAATAAACCTGGGTGGGGTGTCCTCTAGCTGGGTCGTTCAGGAAGGTCCTCTCAATGGAGGTAATATTTAAGGTGAGACTAAACAAAGATGTGGCACAAATGAGGCAAAAATCTGGGCAGGAGCTGCAGCTAAGGCCAATGCCATAGTGGGGGTGGTGAGAAATGGACACATTCAGACATCGGAGTGCTTTTGAGCTGACAGACTGGATGGAAAGAACAAGTGCCGTGATCTCAAGCAGGGGTCTCATGTCTCAAGAGAAGTGGTCATCCAGGGACCCTAGCATTGCTTTTCCTGTCATCTGGTATGCAGAGGATGCTTTTTTAGGTTTTGTTTGTTTGTTTTTTTGGTACCAGGGATCGAACTCTGGACCTTGCGCTTAGAAGACAGGCGGCAGAACCACTGAGCTAAATCCCCAGCCCTAGAGGATGCTTTTAATACAAACCTCACCCATCTGAATCCTCATGTCTGAAATGAAGCAGGAATCCTGCTGGACTCCCTTGTCATGTGGTTGTGAAAACCAAATAAAGAGCAATGGCAACTGATGTTCCACTGAGTGGGGGCAGTGAGCCCTGGACTGAATACTCATTGCAGGTGAGAATATAAAATGTGCTGTAATGACAGCATATGCGGTGTGATCAAAATATACAGTGAATGTTTAAATTATGAAAATTCATTACAGGAGAAGATACACTGCCAATAATCCCCCTCAAATTACTCCCCCTCACTTCAAACATACTTATGTCATTGTGCTTGCCACTTTCTGAAGCAGTTCTGAAAGTCGTCTTTCCTGAGTGTCTTCGTAAGATATAATAAAAAATATGCTGTTGCCACGTATCATCCAATGGAAAGGAAGTCTCCTAAAAACATCACAGTATGTCCTCATCTACCTTATTCACTGGCTCTGGAACCACATAACTTTGGGCTCTTCCCAAAGTCTACATGACTACGAAACGTAAATGATTTGAATCATTTCAGGACACTGAGGCAGCCACGACAGCACAACGAAAGACACTCACGTACACAACTCGGGCAGAACACAAGAGTTTGAACCACAAGTGGAGGAGGACATCTCAGAAGCAGTGGCTGTGACATTTCTGGACCTAGATGCCCAGCTCACAGGCAGGCAGAACTGGAAGTAACTCTACCAAAGCAGGCCACAGCACATGCAAAAGTGTCAGGTGCGAAAAGACAGCACACGGTTATCCACTTTCAGTGAAACACCAAGGCAGGGATGTGCTGTTTACTGCATCCATGTGATTGCCAGGAAGTCACGACACAATGCAGGTGGGAAGAACCTCCTGCATTACCCAAGGTGGCTGCAGACCATTGCCCCACATCTCCAAAACTGTGCCAACAGCTTGTTGGTAAGGAGACAGCACCAAACTTGTAGAAGAGAAATGTATAATGAATAAACATTATTGAAAGGGATTGTATAATGCCATGAATTTTTCAGTGACAAAAACAGCCGAGGACTTATTAAAAAATGCATGACTTTATATTTGATTATAAGTCAAGAGCAGCCAAAAAGAAAGAGAGAATGGGGAGGGGGGCAGCAAAAGACACCCGCAGCCTTGCAGACTGGAATTAATGAGGTTGTTCCTAACGGCAAAGGAGTGACATGGTGATTAGTTAATTACTATTCAGCCGCCTGTAATTAATGCACAACTGAAATTGGTGTACAATGAATTAAACTACCACATAAAGCTGCTACCCAAATTGAGCCGAGGACCTTGATTACTGATTGAGGAGGCTATTACTGTGGCTACACCATTGTGATTTCAACAGTGTCCCCCTCTGACAAGACGTTATACAGCTAGTGGGCGCGTGGGGCTGCAGGGACCGACTGCCTGGTGTAGCATGTGTCGCTGACACTCTCGTTCCTGCCTGCAGTGAAGCTTCCTGCAGCAGAACCTGGCTGTGGCTGAGGTCTGGGTCCCAGCAACCTACCCGGGGCTGGGTTCTCAACGGGTGTGCAAAGAAGAGGTGTGGAGGGTTGCGGAGGGGCCACACTGGAAGGAAAGGGATGGAAGGGAAACAGGAAAGATGCTAATAAGAAAGCCAGGATGTGTTTTCTTCTCTAAGAGTGCTCCTCTCATCCCGGGCTCCGATCACCATTCTCCTCCTCTAGGACCACTGCAATAGCCCATGAAGCAGGAATCCCTTCCAAGGCATCTTCTATGAAGCAAAGATTATCTATGAAGCAAAAGTAATCTTTCATAAAAGCATGGCAAGCCATACCGTTCCCCTGCTCAATACTCTCCTATATATTTCTGCATTGGAGATAAAATGTACTCCCCTTGCCATGACTTACTAGACATGGGCAACCGGATCCCTGGTATATGATATAGATTCATCAATCACTCTTCCATTTCCATGGCTAAGGCATATTCGTCTTTCTATGCCACAAAACTTCCCAGTACAGTTCTGCTCCAGGACCTTTGCACATGCTATTCCAGCTGCTTGGGACAAACCTCTCCAGCATTTCCCTAGCGATAAGGTTTCAGCTCAAATGTCACCATCTCTGAAAGGTCTATCCTGACTTCCCCCAACACTGCCATTGCCACTGCCATTATTCTTCCTCATATGACCCTGCTGATTTCTTTCATGGCTTTCTCTATGATCTGGAGTAGTTTTGGTGTGCTAGCCTTGTTCTTGCTAATGTTCTCCTATTAGAGCACAGGGTCGGTAGAGGGGAAAAAGTATTCTTTCCCTTGTATACCTGGGGACCCCTACGGGAAAGGCAGACAGGGAGACCCATCACAAAGGCTCATGGAGATGCCTGGCTCAGGAAGCTACCAGAGGTAGCTGTGGAGGAAGCTCCAGGGCTGCCCTCACCCACACTGGTGTCCCGGGTGAAGGAGGCTGGGAGTGGCAGGAAGAGTCTGATTTATATAAGTGATAGTGGGGTCGGAGACTCGCTAACGCGCACAGCAGCCAGAGCCCCTGGCGCACACAGGCTTCCCAGTCGGCTGCTCTCCTTGCATCCTGCACACGTGGTGACGGAGGTCTCTGGGAGCAGCTTCCGCCGGAAACCACCTCCCCTCAGCCTTTTCCCCACAGCCCAGGTCCTGGATGACTGGGGTGTGCACCTCACCCACCTCAGGCCAGCACTGAAGGTACTGTGTCCTCTGCTCCCCGCTCAGAGTGGCCAGCACTGACCCTTCATGTGTGGTAGACGGTACGAGGGGCAACTCCAGGATCATAGAACAAGAATTCGCTCGAGCTCGCTCGCTCAAACACGGGGTTTACCGGCACACTGACTGAGAAGCCCAGGGGCAGCTTCTGGGAGGGCCGAGGACTGGTCTCAGTGATGTGTCCTCGGGGGAAGCCTCTCTCCTCCTTTCAGCCCTCCCTCCCCTCTGGGGGTCTCTGTCTCCACCAGGTTTTCCTAAGAAGGGGCTGTGAGCCGTTTTTGTGCCCTAAACCACCATGTGGATCTACTGAATCCTATGGAGCCCTTTCTAGAGTATTTTAAATTTCATCTTACATACATATAAGATAGTTTTTATATAGTAAAATAAAGTATGTAAAATTACAGTGCAAAATATATATTTGTTAAGAAAATATGCACGCAAGGAATAAAACGTATAAACAGGAAAGCAATTATACTAAACTGCGGTTCTCTCCAGGTACTCGGGTGAAGCATCCCCACATGCACATTTTCTGTGGGGCACCTCATGTCCCAGACTAGGTCATATGGCATATTGGTTAGGGTTCTCTAGAGGAACAGAAATGACAGGAATATATA